AATGATTTCATGAGCAACCTTCTGAATTTCGTGGCTTTGAGCTTACAGCATATTTCTTTGCACCTGCTTCTTCAGTATCGTATTTCTTCTACAGAGCCTCCCATACATGTTTAGCAGTCTCATAATTACCATAGTAATCATACCGGTTGTCAGAGAGACTGTTCAGATTGTGGTTCTTGCAAAGATAATCATTATCTTGTCATAGGGCGATTTCTTTCTTAAGCTGTAAATTATCTGCGCAACTTTAACTTTTGCAGCAGAGTCTAAGTCAGATGATTTTGGAGTCCCGTCTGATTCCACAAATGTCTTACCATTAGTTAGTTCAATTGATTCAGAAGGAGCAACAAGGATATCCTCAGTCAGAACGTGGACAAACTTCTTTAAAGTTAAGAAAATTTTCATCTTAGTTTGCCAACGTTTGAAATTAGAACCTCAAACTTAAATGGTTTGTCAGAGACAGTAGCGGGCACAGTAGTACCGATAATTTCCTCAGTAGCCATGGCAGTTAAGAAAACGTCTTACAATTGTTGTTTTTGGTTTTTGAAAAGAAAATTGTCATAGAGGAAGTTATCGGCTAAGTCGCGGAACAGTACGCTTTCTTTAAGACGTCTCGCGGTACTGTCAAAATTATGCAAAACAACTCTTAATAACCACGACGCCTCCAGGATAAAACAACTCGTTCACAAAAGGATTACGATTATCACTTACACTGTGATGAATCGTTCAAAGAAATACACCTTTAGGTGGTGTTTAACCACTCATAATATCTGAAAGAATATCAGTCATAGATGGCACACAAAGGCCACTCGAAAAACAAAGAAGAAAGAATTTGTATTGAGATGAAAAGAACGGAGAGGGAGAAGAGAGATTCCAAAAATTTAGAAATCTGATGTACATTTCCAATGAACTTAGAATCATATTAATAGGTAAATGATTCAACCAAGTGGAGAGAAAATAGTGGGAGAGTGGAGAAAATGGTGGGAGGGAGTTACTTAATCAAAACTAGGTTTTGATGTATGACTCATTATTAATTAATAATTAATTAATATTAATAATTAATTAACTCCCATCAAAATAGGATGACCCTTTCAATTCACATTCAGTTTCCAACACTAACCCAACATCGAATTAGCAACATTTCAGATTTCAGAGAGGAATCAAGAAACTAGGATTTGAAGATCATAAGATGGAAAAGGATGCAACATACCTGAAATTTCAAGAGAGCGAGCAGCGGAGATGGGCGGAGGAGAGGAGCGGAGGAAGAGAGACAGAGAGAGTTGTTTGAGAGGAGAGCATGAGGGAACACGCGATGAGAGAGATGGTGGGAGGGGGAATTTTAAAATGATGTAATTTAAGGATTTGGTGCACGGCAGAAGCCACCACTTTGTGCAACCGAGAGGACAGTTCTTCATGAACCTTCAATGTTCTCATCCCTAGTTATCAATTTCAACTCTGCTGAATCCACCCTCCTTTAACATATTTTCTCCCTCTGTTTCGGGCACCCCATAATTGCCTGAAGTAACATTTGTTTGCTTCATTCTTGTAAGATCTGAGATTCTTCCAGCAACTGCATAAGTGCTAGAAATGAGGAGGGAATCTGTAGGATGCGCAGAGTAAAACTTGTTTAGCACGTCTCTCACACATTCCGCCAATTTAACATCTCCATGGACTCGGCAAGCAGAAAGCAGTGTGCGCCATGAAGTAGCATCACCCTTAATGGGCAAGCTCTTGATAAGCTCAAATGCTTCGTGTAGCATTCCTGCTCGACCCAAGAGATCAATAAGGCATCCATAATGCTCAACCTGCGGTGGAAAGCCATGTTCCTGAACCATGAGCTTAAAAATTTCAATCCCCTCAGTAACAAGTCCTCCATGACTACAAGCAGTAAGAATTGCCAAAAATGTGACTTCATTTGGTTTAAACCCTTCACTCTTCATCCTATTGTAAAGCCTTATGGCTTTCATTGGCTGCCCGTGAATTCCATGACCCGAAATCAAAGCTGTCCATGACTTCACATCTTTATTTTCCATCCTTTCAAATATGTCCATGGCCTCACCTAGAAAGCCGCATTTGGCATACACATCAACAAGAGCTGTTCCAAGAACCACATCCAGTTCTAGCTTCTCCTCTTCAATCAAACTAGTAACATATCGAACTCCGTGCATAGATCCGGATGCAGGGTACATCGAAAGCAACCCAACAAAAGTAGAAGAGTTAGGTCTCACTCCTTCACATCTCATTTTCTTTAGTAACGCCACTGCTTCTTCAACCAGACAACTCCTTGCATAAATTCTGATCAAACAGTTCCATGAAACAACATCCTTTTCCACAAGACCATCAAAAACTTTTCGCGCTAAATATAAACGACCCGTTTTCGCATACATATCAATCAACGCAGTAACAACACTTAAATTACAACCAAATCCAATTTTGATACAGTATCCATGAAGAGACTTCCCCAAAACAAACCTCCCTCCATCACCAGCAGCACACAAAAGACTCAACATAGTAGCAACACTAGCTCTAGTCCCAACACAACACATCTTCAAGAACATCTCAAAAACCAAACAATGCTTCGAAACAAGAACACACCCACCCATCAAAATATTCCAAGTCACCAAATCATTTCTCTCAGGAAATTCATCAAACACCTTACACGCATCTTCAATTCTTCCACAAACACAATAAAACCTTAAAATGGTATTACTCAAATCAACAAACATCCCATTCCCAGACTTCACTGCAACCCCATGAACCCCTCTACCAAACCCAACCTCTAAACTTCTTCCACAAGCTTTAACCACGGCGATTAACGAAAACCGATCAACCCCAATTCCACGCTTTCTGAGCTCATTAAAAATGGGTAAAGCTTTATTTGAAAAAGGGCTAACGGAATAGCCTCTAAGCATTGTATTGAACATGAAAAGGTTAGGATTTTGAATGTAACTGAAAATGGCGGATGCGTAATTCATGTCTATGGTTGACGCAGAAAGAAGCTTGCTTAGAGTGAAAGGAAGATTGGTGATAGAGGTTTTGATCATGTGGGAATGGAGTTGATGAATTTCGGAGGTGGTTTTGCATGATTTTAGTGCAAGTGTTAGTTTGTGAAATGCGTGGGAAATAGCCATAGATGAAAATACTAAGGATATTTTACTTGAAAATACTATGTTTTGAATAATCTACACTCTTCATTAAGACAATCAAAGTGTTGATTTTATAGCAAAATTCAATGTATCTACTAACATTGATCTTTTGACTCACAATTTGCCTCAACTCGACCCATAAAACACAAACAACTCTAAATACTCGGCAAAAAATGACTAATTTGAATGATTGGCTCACTGCAGTAACTTTTATGTTGCATGTTTACTTGGTTATTTAGTTGATTGGAATTTAGAGTATTGTTGTAGTAATACAAAACTTATCTGGATTTATTTCTTTCATTTTTAACTTAATTAACCGGTGTGTGACTTGTAAGGTATAAGAAAGCAAATAAATTCAATATCAATTAAAGAGTAAGATAGCATGTGAAATAAGAGTATTCAATTTTTAGTAGCTAAAGAAAACAGAAGTTTCCATTTCTAGTAATTATAGGAATGTTTTTTTAGGTTGAACATCAAAATCAAGATTCAAAATCGTTTATGTGAACTTCTAGTAGTTATTATAATTTCATCTATAGATTAAAAAAACATTAATATAGACATATATCATATATTTATCATGAGTGCGTCTATTATTATATTGGCATATTGTCATACACTAAATTTATCCCGTCAATTTCAATAGTTATTTTACTGAGATTTCAATATCAGTACTACTTTTCTATAATTATAAATGATGTTGTTTCAATTTGCTTATTTTTTAACGGGGGTTTAAATTCATAAGAGGGACGTTATTTGTAACGTCCGTTAATTTAATTAATTATTTAATTAAATTATTTTTAGATTATTTGTTGAAGTTGTGAGATGTTGAGAATTGTTGGTATAAGTTGTTAGATTATTATTAATTAATTAATCAGTTGATTAATAATAATAATGTTGGAATTAATGGAATAATATAAGATTAAGTTGTTGGGCCTATTTTATATGGTGGTATGTAGTACTAAGGGGGTGTGAGAATTAAGCCCAATAGAAATACTATTATTATTAAGTTTGGTTATAATAATAGAAAAATAGGTTTTGTCTAGGAGAAGAAGAATAAGGGTTGGAAGAGAGAAAGAGAACGTGGAAGTTACAGAGAAGAGGAAAATAGGCAAAGTGGGATTCAATCAAAAAATTGTAGAGCAACCTTCAATCCAAGGTAAGGGTGAGGTTCTGACTCTATAATTGGGTATATGATGCATGTTACGTGGAAATTGAGTTGTGTGAAATTGTTAATGTATGTGATGGTTGTATGAATAAATTGTTATTTGGCATCTGTGATAATTATGCTAACAATGCAGTGAGTCAATCGATGAATCGAGTGTTGAAAATTACCATATATTGATGTGGATATAATTGTTGTGTTGGCCTGAGATTTGGGCAGAGAAGGAATTATTATTTGAAGTTGTTTCAGTTGAATATTTGATTCAACTGTGAAGTTATGGAAGTTGTTGATTTTAGAAAGATTAATTTATGTTGTTGTTGGTTCATCCAAGTTAATGTGTTATGCATCTGTAATGAATTCCGTCATTTTAAGTTGAAATTGTAGCATCCTGATTTAGTTGTTGAATTTTTATAACTCTGATTTTATAATAGTTGTCGGGTAGAATTGGGGTGTTACAAAGTTGGTATCAGAGCAAGTCGGTCCGTCCGACCAAGTTATCTAATGTTGTTTGTTCCTTAGTACGCGACAAGTGTGTGAAACATTATTGGTGCTTGTTTGCTTTTCTAATTTATTATTTGCAGAAGTTGGTTTGAAGATAAGTGGGGGAGAAGATTTTCTTCTCGAATATGTTTAGGTTGTAAGATGTTAGTTCAATATGTTGCTGATGGCGACAGTCAGTGGCGGAGCCAGGAATTTTAGGGAGCTTGGGAAAAAAATTTAACCGCAATTTCAGCAGCAAGTTCAGCTAGTTGAGTTTCTCCATGGTTACAACATGCACTCAGGAATGCTCTCCAAGCCAATGTCACTTCAGAGCCATTCAAAGATTTGGTAATTTTTCTTATTATAACCATTGCTTCTTCAAAAAGCCCTGCTCTACTAAGTAAATCAACTAAACAGCCATAATGTTCACTTTTTGGCTCAATGTTGTGAACACTTAGCATTCTATCCAACAACTTTAAACCTCCATGTGCCATTCCTGAGTAACTACAAGCAGTAAAAACAGCAATAAATGTTATATCATCAGGTTTCATCCCAACTTTTTCCATATCATAAAACAGCTGGAGTGCACCTTTCCCATCTCCATGCATTGCCAAACTAGAAATCATAGCATTCCAACATACAATGTCTCTCTCTCTCTTGCATTGATTTGAATAATCTTTTTGCCGTTTCCAAATCCCCACATTTAGCATACATGTCTAATAAACTAGTAATCAAAGGAACACTGAACGAAACAAGCTTCGATTGTTTCAAATGTCGATGAATCCACACACCAATATCTGAAGCTCCAAGATGAGCACAGGCAGAAAGAATGCTCACAAATATAGATTCATCAGGTACTATATTCGTAAGCTGCATCAATCGAAACAAATAAAGACTTTCTTTAAAGCAACTGTTTTGTACATAACCAGAAATCATAGCACCCCATATACCTTTATCTTTCTCAGGTGCTTCATCAAAGAACAACCTAGCTGAATCAACATCACCCACTTTTGCATATCCAGAAATCATCACACTCCAAGAAAATGCACTTAAGCTAGGAATTTCATCAAACACGTACCGTGCAGCTACAACATCACCCAAAACACAATACATTGCCAATACATCATCCTCTGCCCAACAAACAACACACTACTCTTCACCTACAAACAACACACTACTCTTCACCAACACAAAGTTAAAACCTTCTGCCAACATAACTCCCCAATTTGCCACCTCACTATTCACCCTCCCATAAATCTCATCCACAAGCTTCGACAACGGAAGCTCGCTCTCTTCCATCAACACTGCAACAACCGTGTTTCTCGACCCACCGCATTTCTTAAGGTCAACAACAACCTTCTTACCCAAAACCCCTTTGTAGTACTCAAACAAACCCTCGAGCTCCTTTTCTAAGGTTTCGATTTAAGCTAGCTTCTCTTCTGGTGTTCGTAGGTGCTGTAACTTGGAATTGACCTCTTTCTTCCGCTTCTGGGAGTTGGTTTTAGGGTGATTGGTTGTCGAATCTTGAAGTGGTGGTGGTGCCGGATGGTGAAGTATGGATGGTCGGAGCCTGGGCAGCTGCCCTACCTGGCCGGACGCTGGCTCCGCCACTGGCGACAGTGCAAGTATGGTTGAAGTTTTGTTGTTTTCCGAATCCGAAGGTGACATGGATTAAATACTTGGTTTGATAATCAAGTTGGAACGTCTTGAGGTAGGATGATCAGACATTGTTGATGTTTACTTCTCGAAAGATAAGGAGCAATGTGACGGTTGTTGATATACGAGTAGAGTATAAATCCATGATGTTTCTGGAGGTGATTGTTGAGTAACGAGGATAATTTTTGGAAGATGAAATTTAGAAAGTTGCGATGTTTCAGCGCTACTGGTGGACTGTGAAGTTGTCGGTTTGGGTAGCCCTTGTGTAATATGTTGATGTTTGAACGGTGATAGAGTGACAAATTGTTGTAGACCTTGTCGCGGGATCCTTGTGAGTGATTGTAAAAGTTGTTGAAGTTGTTGGAATGTTTTGAATCGCGAGTTAGAGTCGAAAATGCGAGGAGATGAGTATGATTTCAATTATGACAAGTGTTGGTACTGGTACAAAGAAATTTTTTTATGATGTTATTGTAAGGTGTGTATTAGTGTGTCGATGCATGACGTCAGTATTCACATTTTCGGATAATTTTAGAAATTCATATCTTGTGTTCCGAGTATCGGATTGGTGTTCCGTTTGAACCTATGGGGAGATAGAAATATATTTTATCCTATGAAAGTGTTTTCAAATATGGTTGATGCATTCCCATATGGAGGAACTCTGAAGTCGTTTACGAAACTAGAGGTCTTTTTTGGGCATAAATGATTATTATCACAGTTGTTCGAGACGAGGTCAAGCATAATATGTTGTTGGCGAATAATTTGAGAAATGAGATGTTCGACATTAAAAAGGATAGTAATTCATCATTTTAAGTATGTGATGTTGCATGTGAAGAAAGTTTGGTAAAACTAAAGAAAAGATTGACGACTACTCTGGTCTTAGTTTTGCCTAATCTGAGAGAGTCATTGATAGTGTATTATGAATGTGTCTAAGATGGGACTTAGTGGTGTGCTAATGCTGAATGGACAATTTGTTGCTTGTGCTTCTAGACGACTCATAGTTCATGAGAGGAAGTATCCTATGTGTGACTTAGAGTTAGCAATGGTGGTGTTTATGTTGAAGATTTGGAGACATTATCTTTTTGGTTCTAGATTCGAAGTATTTAGCGACCATAAGAGTTTAAAGTATTTACTTGATTAGAAGGAATTGAATATGAGACAACGAAGATGGTTGGAGTTTTTGAAGGATTATGATTTCGGTTTGAATTATCATCCAGGTAAAACTAATGTTGTGGCTGATGCTTTAAGTCGAAAAACTTTACGTATGTTGGCAATGATGGTTAAAGAATTGGAGTTAATTGAACAGTTCAGAAATATGAGCTTAGTTTGCAAAGTGACATCGAAGAGTGTTATGTTAGGGATGTTGAAGATTAAGAAAGATTTTCTGGACAATATCCAAGAAGCTCATCAGTTAGATGTGGAATTGGTAGATTCAGTGGTTGAACTCGATCAGTCTGAGAATGATGATTTCAAGGAAGATGTGCAGGGTGTGTTGAGATTCCGTAATCGAATTTGTATTCCTGATGATGCGGAGATAAAGAAAGTAATTCTTAAGTTGGAGGATACTTAAACTTTGTGTGAGGCTAAGTGAGTGTAATGTGGGTCGTGTGATATGTTGAGCGATGGTGTCTCATCGATAAAATCGAATGAGAGGGAGATTGTGGAAGTATTTGTAAACCTCATCGGAAATTATTGGATTATGGTGCTTTAGGTGACTTGAGTACAAGTTCTAAAGGAACACTATTATAGTTTAGTAACAATGGTTTATACTCCACTATGGTTGTAGGTTGTTGTGATCGGTGGAAATAGAACTGACTGTTTTGAAATGCTGGTTCGCGTTTGCGTTTAGCAAAATGTCGCTGTAAGCAAGAGTCTCCACCGTATTTTATTTTCTCCAACAAGGAAAGGACAAAGGCACAGCAAAATTCCTTTTCGAGATGTTTCTCGGGTTCGGGAGGTAGATTATAGAAAGGGAATGTGTTAGCACCCTTTCTATCCGTGGTTATCCACGGGCTCTTAGGTACTTGCTCACTATGTTTTCAAAATGTTTTTCTTTTCTTGTGTTTGCGGGTTTTGAAAAAGTTTGTTTGAAAACTTCGATTTGACTCTTGTATCTGTCCTCAAGAGTGTATGAAGTGTTGTTTGAAAACTTTTGTCAGAAAAGTGTAAGTGCGAAAAAAGTTGTTTTGTTTTGAAAGAGCAAGTACCTGAGAACCTCTACCTACTCAAAAGAAATTAAGCTGTGTAAATGTCCTTTAGACAGTACTATCCCACTATTGAGAAGTAGGTAGCACTGCCGTCGGAGTTTTTCGGGTCAACTCGATTATAGAGACATGTGGTCACCAAAGCAATAGTAGGACGCCTTAGCGGTAACCCTAATGTCTTAGATCATTTTTATCCGAGGCAACCGTTTCGAGGCAACTTTGATCTTTAGACAGGAGGGCGACCTCTAAAACACCCTATACTCAATGACCACGTCGAGGTAACCAAGTGAGGCGTACCCTAGGAGTGGCATGTGCGAGTGTGTCAGATTTCAGTTAATGTTATCTTTGTACATGTTATGGTGAGCTACGATTGATTTTAATTTAAGAGAAGTCTTGTCATGCATAGCCTAATTAACATATATCTAGCAGTTAATAGTTGCGGGAAATAAAACTAAGTTGTTACAAGGCGTCGGGTATTTACATCGCCAAAGACAAACCCTTGAAAAGTAAATTGCGGGAAATTAAATAAAAGCGATAAAAAATCCTAATTTAAAGCTATTACATCCTCGGAACAATTACATAATTGGAATAAAATATATATATATATATATATATATATATATATATATATATATATATATATATATATATATATATATATATATATATATATATATATATATATATATATATATATATATATATATATATATATATATATATATATATATATATATATATATATATATATATATATATATATATATATATGCGCGAGAAAAAATTGAATCGGAGAAGTCTTTAGGGTTTTAACCCTTTTTGAGAAAGAAAGAAAATTTTTGTGTTATTTTGCATTTAATTAAATTAAGCCTAAACTAATTAATTAATTAAAAAGAAATATATTTTTGAGTTTTTTATGTGTTAAGGAAATAAATAAAAAATAGTCAAAATTGTCAAGAAACCCTAATTCTACATTAGTTTTAGATTTATTGTGAAAATATTAAAATTAACCTAATTAAAAACTAAATTAATTATGTTAGCATTTATTTACAAAATAACTAATTAAATCTAATAAATAAATAAAAATATTATATTTTTATGTTTTCTGAATTTATAAAAAAATGTTAATTGTTTTAGTTAGTAATTAATTAAAAATTAATAAAAACAATTTAAGTAAAAAAAATAAAAAGGAAAAGAAGGAAATAAACTCAGGGGGGTGCTGGCCCAATTAGGAGGTGTGTTTGGAAATTCTCAGGCCCAACAATACTCCAGCCACGTTGACCTTTGTGATCATCCACATGCTTGTTGACTGGGGAGTATGGTGGTCATTCCATCCTGGCCATTAGATTTGAGTTTGAAGCCATCTGGCGCCTGGGAATTGGAGGTATATGATGGACCTCACTTTGAAACCTGCATGTGAATATACAAAGGAAAAGGAAATAAATGTTTTGGGGGACCTGGGATTCGAACCCAGGTCCTAATGGACTTTGCATGCTTTCCCCAACCACTCAGCCAACGTGTTCATATTGTTATTAAAATAAAGAGCAATAATTATATATGAAAATAATCAATATGTTGTAATAAAACAAAATTAACGCGCGCTTTTCAAATTGTCCAATGGGGTATCAACACATCATCATCTTCTTCATTCGTTCTGCATAAATAATATTAGATAGCGGGGGTTTTTAACCCCCACTATTCATCTGCACGAAAAATAGCGATTAGAACCACAATGATCATAAATATTTCGCGAGGGGTTGGTCTTGTTCGTTTTGTTCTCACGAGTTCAGTCTTATGTCTCATGAGTCCTAATTTTTCTGGGTTTAGAAAGCCCTAATTGAAAACTCAAGAACCCTAGAATTTTGACCATGGCATCTTTTGATTCAGGGCGTTATAATTCAATTAAATTATACCAATAGCTTCGTATGGTTCCTAGCAATGCAAATCAACCAAGAAAACATGTTAAATGCGCATGAATTAAGCAATACAGTTTTGAATAGGAATTGCAAACCGTGGTTCTGTAGATGATGATTCTTTGAGCTTTGAAACTGGAATTTGATTGTAAATCGTGCCTGAGACCTCCTGCAATGTATTAGAATGGTCAAAACGCCTTGAATCGCCCTAGAATGCAAAAACCAGTTTTCAATTTTCTTGGAATTTCTTGAAATTGGACAGGGTGATTTCTGCAGTTTTTTCACGTCCATTAGGTCAGGGTTAGCTTGCATATGTATAAGGCAATTGAATTAGGTCAAAAACTTGGGCCAATATCCATTGCATTGATGTTTAGATCTTTGATTGGAAATCAAATATTTTTGATTCTTCATGATTGAACAAAGTTGCCAATTTTGGATTTTTTGTATCTTTGACTTTGTGCACGAATTTGCCAGCATGTTTAGGTCATATTTGCTTCACAAAAAGATTTAAAAAACAAATCTTCTATTT